TATAGTCTCTACTACATATGTGCTTACAACTAATGCTTTTAATTTTGAAACAACTTTTCTTCTTGCATCCAAGATCATGGGCGGACCTGTATGGGTGCAACCGGTGGCACGTGCCACCGTATTATTTCGCCACCAAAGGGTAAAATTTTTAGGTTTCTCAACGGTGCTACCRTATTATTTTGGAAGGTGCTACYGTATTATTTTGAAAGGTGCTACCGTATTCAAACATAGCAATTAAAATTTAAAACCCAAACAAAATAAAGCCCAATTGTCTAACTTAATAAAATGCAAAGTCCAATTAATTTATTAACATTAATAAAATGCAAAGCCCAATTATATGATTAAGCCCAAATCAAATATACAAACTATTACCTCCTCTAGTCCTCCTCCTGGGCTTTTCTAATTTCTTGTGCAGCCGTGCAGGTGACCAGATGAGACGAGAGTGAAGGCTGTGAAGCTACGTGAAGCGGTGAGTGTGAGACGACCCAACAAAGTGAACGAACGAGCTTACGAGCGTGAACGACAAGCGAGTGAGCGACAAGCGACCGACATGCGACAACCAGGGAGGGCCACCGCCAAGGACACTGTCAACAAGAAGAATCGATTCGATTTTGGAACGATTTTGAAGACTCGGACGATTCACGATTCAGAAATCAGAATCGAAACTCACTAAAACTCGAAGAAMGATTCTCGATTATTCAATATTCAGATTTCAGAAATCAGAATCGATTCGATTAGGTATTTAGGTTTAGCCTTTAGGTATACATTTTTAGTTTTAGTTGATTATTTACTTGATTAGGTTTAGGTATACATTTTACTCTTGAATTCTTGATGAAATTGATTGAGGCATTGAGGCTTGAGCATTTGATTTGAGCTACTGTCTAGACTCACTAGTTACTGCCTCTATTAGTATTATTGACTATTGAGTATTGATTTGCAAAATACAAATTGTGAACAGTGATTTGAATTTTGAGGCTTTGAGCTACTTACTGTGAACTGTCTGTCTAGTATTAGTTTTCATATGTTGATTAAATTTACTCATTGTCTCAATGTCATTACTGATTACTTATCATTGTTTTCATTACTTAGATCTACAATTCTCATTCATTATGGAAATATATTTGAAGCGAAAAGCTTCATCATCAACCGGTAATAATGATGCATCCAATTCCAACAATGTGATTGATGTTAACGATCTTCCTTGGGATCCATCAGAGAGACCCAAAATTATAAGTTATAATCCAAATCAAAGAGACGAAATTAGACGGAWATACTTGGTAAGGGGTCCTTGTCAACCACGAGGTCACATCTTTCCAACCAAAGTTATAGGGGCTAAAGGGAGACGGTTTGTTGTTACTTGGTTTGATCAATTTCAGTGGTTGGAATATAGTGTAAAAGTAGATAGAGCATATTGTTTGCCTTGTTACTTGTTCAGAGACCAAGGTGGGAATCATGGGATAGATGCATTTGTGGCGGASGGATTTAATAGTTGRAGTAAAAAAGATAGACTTACGCTTCATGAGGGTGAGGTTAATAGTTTTCACCATAAAGCACTTAAAAAATGTGAAGATTTGGTTAACCAAAACCAATCAATTGCGGTTGCCCTTCGTAAACAAACAGAACTCCAAAAGACCGAGTACCACATGCGATTGAATGCTTCCGTTGAAGTTTGTAGATATTTGTTGGAGAATGCTTTACCATTTCGTGGCAACGATGAGTCGGAAAAGTCTATGTACAAAGGGCTTTTCTTAGGGACTTTAAAGTTAATCGGAAGAACAAATGGGGAGATTGAAAAGGTTATATTACAAAATGCCCCGAAGAACAAGAGGTTAAACCAAGAGATTTCCCTTGTTCGAGCTGGAGATACACGATGGAATTCTCATCTTAAAACAATCGTGAGTTTGATTGCTTTGTTTCCAGAGGTCATACAGGTGCTTGAATATGTCGAAGATGATAGTGATAATGGAGCTAGTCGGTTTCAAGCAAGAGGTCTTTTATCATACTTAAAGACATTTGAATTTGTGTTTTATATGCACTTGAATTCAACGATCTTAGGATTAACAAATTCATTGTCTCAAGCTCTTCAAAGGAAAAATGAAGACATCTTGGAAGCTATTGATTTGATAGGAACAACCAAAGGTCAATTACAAATGTTGAGGGAAAATGGGTTTGATCAAGTTTTGGAGAAATGCTACTCTTTTTGTGATAAACATAAGATTKTGAAGTTGGATATGGCTGAAGCTTATGTTAATACAAGAAATTCAAGGAAAAAGACGAAMATTACCAATCAACATTATTATAACTATGATATATTCAACAYTGTTTTGGATRTDCAGATCCGAGAGTTTGGTGATCGTTTTGGTGAGATAAGCACCGACTTGCTTCAAAATATGGCGGCTTTGAATCCACGCAATTCGTTTTCTCAGTTTAACAAATCAAGCCTATTGAAGTTGAGTCAGATGTGTCCCCGAGATTTTGAAGACAAGGAAAGGATCATTCTTGAGCATGAACTTGATATCTACTATCATTCTGTTTATAATGATGTCAGATTTGCCAACTTAAACGGTATTGCCCACCTCGCCAGATTAATGGTTGCAACAAGAAAGCATCTTTCTCATCCTTTAGTCTACTGGTTATTGAAACTGACACTGGTTTTGCCTGTTGCAACTGCTACGGTTGAAAGATGCTTTTCGGCGATGAAGCTTGTCAAGACAGATTTACGTAATCGAATTGGTGATGATTTTTTGAATTCTGCCCTCATTTGCGCTATAGAAAAGGAAGCCCTTAGTAATGTTAAAAATGAAGATGTAATCGATCGTTTCCAAAAGATGAAGACACGCCGAGGACAAATTTAGAAGTTGGATCTCAACATATTTTTTGTAATTATTTTTGGGTATATATTGACCGTTTTCAAAAGATGAAAACGCGTCGGGTACAAGTTTACGAGTTGTTTATCGGTACCATAAAAACCATATTTTKTGTAATTATTTTTAGATGTATATTATATTATATTAATTATATGGTGTCACCGTATGGAAAATTTTCTGGGTCCGTCCCTGTCCAAGATGCCCATAATGTAAAAGGACATGTAAGATCTTTTTGACCTTTTCCACATGTAATAAGTAGTCTTTCTGAATCATTTTTCACATATTCTAGTTGGTAGCCAATTGCAACCGCATAGTTAGTCAGACACTGCTTTAATTGACTAGGATTCTCACAATCTTGTATTCATATTAAAAACATAAAAAAGTAAGCATGAAGAGCAAAATCTTCTAGAAAGGAAATGTAAGATTAATAAGTGATTACCTATTTATCTTTAGCTCATGAAGGCTATACTGATTATCTAGTCCTACATAGCCAGTGAACCTTTTTTTACCTAAAGGAAAGATGCTGCCATCTCAAGCCTAGCATAACACAAATTCATCATGAATCACTATTAAAATGTTGCGTCTGTTAAAAAGAAACACTAATAACCATGAAATCATGGGCTTCTCCTTCATTTCATCTCCTTACGTTACATTGTGTCTGTTCTAAACCTCATAGAAAAACACGGCAAAAGTTACTTTTTGTTTTGGGCTAAGATCATATTTTCTTACAAGCTGTGCGTGTCGCTACAATATTACTGTTTTCGGCTTAATCTTATTGCTTAGGCATTTAAGACGTTTGATAAAGAAATCCAAATATAAGAAAATTTGGACCATGAAATGGTCTCCTAAGAGTTGAAGCTTGAGCACAGTGAACTTCCTATATTCTAATTACACCATGAAATCCAGATTCATCATAGCATCTCCAGCCACAAGAAGAACGAAGGCTAATAATTAGTTTTAATTTAGCACAAAAATCATTAGTTTACACACTTTGTACCCACACACTGCTACTGTACTAAATCATACAACAACCCCGACATCGCCCCTTGCCATCACCGGAAACGCAAATATTTTGTCAGTTTTACCTCCTTCCTTCCTATCTCTTTCTTTCTTTTACCACCTATTTTCACCGCCAAAACTCATGCTTTTTGAAAAACATGAAATCCGGGTGATACACATTCAAAACAAAAAAGAGGACGAAGAAGCAGTCCATTCTTTTGAGGATAGAAATCAAAAAAATTGTTGGAACCGGACCGGAGAAATCAAGAACTGTGGCAACCGGGTGCTGCGGCGGCGACAGACAGATGGTGGTGGTGCGGCAGCGACTGTAGGGCGACTGGAGTGTGGAATTGAGCGATTGTTTAGGATGGTTTTAGGTTTTTTTTTAATTTGTAGGTTTACCTCCTATTCAAATTACAAGTTACATTTTTAAAGAATGAGGATCTATTTAACATGTTTAAGAAAGTCTAAGGATCTATTTAATAGGTTTTGAAAAGTCTAATGATTTATTTGTTCCAAAAAATTGTCCAATAACTTAATCATTCCAAACACTAAAGTCTATTTGATTTTATTGCACTTTTCCCTAGTTTTTATAATAATTTTGGGCAAAAGAAACTATAAATATGTTATATAAGAAACTATGTTTTATTCCTTCTAAAATATATGGCTTTTTCCTTTTTCATAGTTTTAGCAACATAAAGAAGAAAAAAACCCTCCCTTGTTCTGTGTATGACACAATTAGTTTGTGTGCATTACTAAAGACTATAGAGGCAATAAACCAATTCTTACCATTTGATTCATCATCTTCATCAAATTTCACACATAACAAGCAATGATTTTCAAAACACATGTTTGCATTGTTCTATTAGGTCTTGTACCAGGTTACTTAATTACCGTTTTGATTATTTTTATTGCATATAATAAAAACACCCATCGTTAACTATGCATTATCTATGCTACTCTATAGAACATATTTTGTGAAGTCTTAAAAATAACTCATGATGCACTAAGTACTAGTATTAATAAAATTTACATCTATACATCTCTATGAAATCAATTAATCAAATAAATAAACCAACTTTAATATATTCATAAATGAATCTAAATTAAATAATACAAAGATTATCCTTTAGAGAAATTTTAACCATTGAATCTAGGAACAGGAACCTTGATTATGTTTATTGCATATAATCTATAGATGCATAAACCTTATCTACGAATCATGTAAACCATTATTAAATTCCATGCAAGTCTAACCTTAATGAATGGTTCTCTCCCATTGTGAGCCTTAACTCGATCGTAGTCATCACACATCCTCTTGATCACCCATCAAAAGCCTGTAGCAACCATCATTCTGATGATCACTTGGTTCAACTGGCCTTTCATGTTCTTGAAAAGTTCCCTCTTGATACTGAAAATTGGTGCTTCTCGTACTCTCTTTTCGCCTTTTAGATCTTTCTTCCAACTCATTTATGCTATCCCACTTGGTCTTGCATATTGATTTATTCCTATTGTAACCTAAAGATGCCATTTTTGAAGCAATTTCATCCCAAAGAATCCCTTCCATGTTCCCAACTTGCTCGATTCCTGCGTCTATGTTGGTTCTACGAAAGTGTATTAGTTGCCTAATCTCATTTTCTCCCCATTTACACATGGGATTATTAATATAATCATTACATTCTGGAAAACAATGGTTTTGAAGTGATTTCTTCTCGGTTAATTTGTGCAAAGCCTGCATCAAAAGTGGCTCTCGAGACTCCATCCATGCTCGTCGTTTACCCCAAAACTTGTGCTTGATCTCCAATCTACCCACATCTTCTTTTCTCCATTGCTCCACTCTTGACATCCTCTCTTGTTCCTTCTGTTCAATTGTCTTCATCATCTTCTCCATCCATGCCTCTTGTTTGTCCATAATCTTCCTCGTCTGTGCATCAATGAAGTCTTCTATGTTCTTCCAACTCCGTTTCCTTAGTTTCCTCGTCTTCATCTTCCTCCCCACACAATCAGTGTTCTCCGTAAATGAACCCATGGCATGTTTACAATTAGGATTAGGACAAGTAGTACGACCTCTTTCACCATAGAGAGCTTCTAGTTGGCTAAAGAACCTATAGTGTTTCCCATCTTGTCTTCCTGCTTTCCCTTCTTTAGTCCTCTTGTAATACTTGTATAAGTTTTCAAATTTCTCTCTGCACTTTTTCGCATTTCTTTGATACCCATGTTCCTCGGACATTATCCTGAAAATCAACCAATTAAGTTGACGATTTTTGTCGTCCAGAAACTAGTTCAATTAATCAAACATTAAGTTATGGTATGAAAGAACAGTTCGCAATTGATTTTTGTCATATTTATGGAGTATGAATCTCATGCTGGTTGGTCTGGAGACATACAACTATAACCAAACTCGAGGGTTTTACCGACCAACTAAGATCGGTGTACGTAAAATCTGTTTACACTTTCTTGGTGTTCAATTTACGGAAGGCAGTGAAAAGTTCATCCATTTAAGATGATCAAGTTACAATGCTTTTTGACGGATCTATATACTAAACTATATGGAAGAAATCTTCAAAGATCTTTCACACATACCATCGAAGACATATAGAAGAATAGGATGAGATGAAGTTGTAATGTTGAGTTTCTTGGTGTTGAGTGATAGGATTGATGTTTATAAAAGGTGAAATCTATGTTTTCCTGAAGAAAAATCAAGTATACCCCAACCAGCAATGTGATATATAGAGGCACTGAAGAGAGTAGAGAAGTGAGAAGATGGTACTAGAACAAGCCCCATGATCCAGATTCATTGCAAGAATTCAGATACTTTGTCTAGAACAGTGAGAGAAATTAAGGTGAGGCATGAAAGAGTTATGTGTTGTAGAGAGAGAGAGAGAGAACCTAGAAACTTCATTCCACAAAGGACCCTTGTGATTTGCTTCTTTGAACTTACAATTCATCCTTGATCTGACCTCCAAAAGAGTTAGAGTTTCTTGCCTTGGCCACCTACCATTTACATCACCACCACCGATTCCCATCTCTAAACCGCCATCACCAACGCTAAGACCGCCAATTCTCGAGCCAGGACCAGGTGGAATCGTCCGCCCACCACCACCACTTCCCACGACCACCATCTCATAGTGAAGGTCATGATGAGGACCACACGGTGGTTGGGTAATGGCAGTGAAGATTGGACTTATATTCATGTAATGTGCCAGATTAGCTATCCCATATTGCTCCTCCATTCCTGATTTAGATTTTCCAAGTTCTTTTCCCTTTGATAGATTCAACGGCAGACCACAGATTCTGTCGTCACTCTAGAACCTCTTTGACGCGTGTGTTAGGAATAATATATGATGAACTCTTTCTTGCTTTACTTATGTATATATGCAAGTAGTAGAGATGAATAGTGTATGTATACATATCAACGTATATATATATATATATATATACTTCAAATCTCTCTCTCTCTCTAGAATGAAGTATAGAGAGAGAAACATACAAAAGGGTGAGATGAGATTCAGATGTGATTGCCAATAATAAGGGGACAAATGCAAAAAGGTGAAAGACAAAGTAGTCTAATTTCCTTTCTTGTTTCGTTCTTTTCCTGTTCTAAATACATCGCATATGCATCGACAGGGCCTAGGATCCTTCCTTTATGACCTCCATCCCTTCATTCCTTTTCTCTTTTTATGATGAATATTTTTGTTCTCTACCTTTTCGTTTGGAAATTTTTAACATCGATAGATAATCCGTTATATGATTTTTCGTATCTAATTATATGTTAGGGAACATTTTCCCGGATATTGTTCGGTGTTACACTTTGTTAAATAATAGCAACCACTCAGACTAAAATGGTACTTAAGTATGAAGTTGATATGGTCGAATTCTGTTATATGCTCGACTAATTCCACCTTTAAAAAATTCAAACAAATTGTAATTTACACTTACGTTATCTGAAAAGTCAAGATCAACGATTACATCCAATTAAACTAAGGATTTTTTTTTACTTGTAGACATTTTACATTGTTTATATTTGTATTTATATTATTATATTAGAGTATAAAACATTCAAATAAATTTAATTAATCAAGGTGCAGATAATTAAATTTCTTTTAAAAGGTATGTTATTTCCTAAATGAAAACCAAATCTTACTAAGGATTTGATTGCTGTGAGAAAGAGAGTTAAGATGAGAAGTGTAAGAAAAGATCCCCACTCTTAGATGCAGATTAAGATGAGATGCACCTAATTAGTCACCGTATCAAATGCGATTAATGAGTGAATTTGAGATTAATGATGATCTAGGATCTAGATCCCTTCTTACGGTTCTCATCTTAACTCTCATTGTCACAAGATCATATGCCATGTTACTAAATACTAATTAACTTACCTATTGTGATATATATGGGGTGTGATCAGGGTTCGAGCCTTTTTATTTAATAACAAAATCTTTTTATAAAACCAATCTTAATGGGTTTGGGTGGCTTGGCACCACCCTATCACCCTTGGCTACGCCTCTTATTGGTTCAATTAATTTGCACCAAAAATTACGTACACTATTACGCATCAAAAACAATACTTTTTGTAGACTTTTACTACCACTTTGGTGAAATAAGGAGTTGAGTTAGACTAAGGTTAACCCTAAAGCTTTCATGTAAATGAAGAAAAGATGACAAAGATGGGATAAATTTAGGGTAGAAGACAAACCAGAATTTCTTTCCTCTCAAGTCTTTTTCACACCTTCTCTTTTTTTCACCTATTTAAAGGGAGCTTGACAATTCATTTGAAGCATGCTTAGATGTGAATTAGTAGTAGAGAAACATCATTTTACTCTTGCATTTTTCTTCTAGCTAGTTGTAATTCTTATTTTCTGCATTTCCATTTTTATTCACCACAATGGGAGTTTGTGGTCACACCGACGGATTTTGGTTTTATGCAATCTAACTTTGAGTACTTCTTTTCTTCCATTATGTCTTTTCTTTTAACCATTAGCTACCCCCCCTCCCCCCCTTTAGGTGTGGGTGTGAGCCAAACTCGAGAGGTCAAAATGTAACACTTGTGTGTTACCACTTTTTGCTAACTCTTGGTTTTGGTCATTCGAGTTGAAGTTTTAACTCAACGTGGAGAAGCCAATCATTTGTGTGTGTTAATATTAGATATTTTACCTAAAGATAGACAGATTCTAAATACTGCTTGAATGATGAACGAGGTTTGAGAAAATTTTCAATAATCACATAGAGATACGGATTTTTGCATAATCATACTAAGGTTCATATGTAGGTCGAGTTGGTGTGTCATAGAGATATGCACATCTCTCCATACTCCCGGAACTAAGATCTCAAGATCTACTTTGTAAGGTTGGCAAATCTAAAGTTAGCATTTGTGGATACTTTATGATGAAACTGTAACCACAACCCATCTGACGTACCTTCAAGAGGAGGAAATCACATGGGGTTATTTTATGACCGGTTTTCGTCAACCACTTAAGTTGGTTTCATCAACCACTTAAGTTTGTAATATACTCTCGGGGAAAACCTACACCCATACCCTTTTTTTATTACTTGTTATTTTAAATCACCAATATTCTCTAAAAAGGAAAAATTTAAAATCTAATTTTGCACCGTAAGTTCGTGGAAATCTCCGATTCTTAGTAAGACCATGTGAATACAATTTTGGGTACCTTATCATTATATCACTTGTAAGCAAACTCAATAGTCGGTGTATACTTGCACCACTATTGTGCCAGATTTTACGTGTATGTTATTTTTGCTATCAAGTTTTTGGCGCCATTGTTAGAGATTGAGGTGATTTACATCCTAAAGACATTGATTTCCACTTGAGCATGCTGAGAGTTCTTTTCTTTAGCACTTTTCCATGTTGTATGTCTCGAGAACACTCTTTCACCATAATGGAAGGTTTTAGTTGTGATGCCTCTTATTAAAATACTTTCAATTATTCATGGGAACGAAATCCTAATTTTTTTCACAAATTTTCAAGATGATAACACCTACAATTCGTTTCCACCTCCCTGCCAAAGATTGGAATGACTAGTATGTGAATACATTTGACCAATCATGAGAGGACCATGTTGATTATTTATGTGATTTTCATGGGACGAATCCTTAGTGGATTCTCGTCCTTTGTTCCCAACTACCCACCCTAGACTCTAATAATAAACATATTGACCTCAAATATAAGCAAATAAACCCAAAATTTAAAGAGTTAACAACAAATATAAACAAACGAACCTAAAGAGTTAGTTCGGGATTAACAAATACACGTCCCAAAGTCTAAATATTAATCCTGAATCAACTCTATACACCCTAAAGTTTATGGAGTCAAGGTCAAATACACATGAGTTGGTTAACATGTTATTCGGTTGCCGTTGGTCTATCAGTATAAGAAAATTAACTCTAGCCAAAGAGACTCTAATAATAAATTTGTATTCACATTAAACTTTACTAAAAAAAAAAAAGTCCACCATATTATTCACACTAATTTTAATAAAAAATTCAAGAAGAATCAACAAAAAACATCGAAGGAAATTTTAATAAAGATTAAAATATTGCATTTATCATACACGCTTGTAATTAACATTAAGAACATGTTTTTTATTTTTGTTAACATTATAAATATAGTTAGTTTTAGAAATATTTAATATTCGGCTCGTTTCGTAGCTATTGAGGAGATCTTTTTAACAATGTAATTTTTTTTTAAAAAACATATTTTTTATTGTGTTTTTAACTTTTAATTAATTAATGTGATAAAAATATAAAGTTAAAAAATAAAAAGGAGTGTAAGTAAATTAAAACCATTAAAATCTTTGAAGGGTAAAAAAAAATATATATATATAACTTATTTCCAACCATCTTCATCAAGTTGGACGATCATGGACACGTTTATTTCTTAAATTTTCATTTAAACCCTTAAATGTTTTAACGTTTGTGGCTTCAACACAAAAGATCTTATGGTTTTATTTCAAAAAAAACTTATAATTTCATACTTATATATACCGTAAAAAAATTATAATTAGACCCTACATTTTTATGTTTTCATGGATAACCATACCCCAAACTCTCAATAGATAGGTCCACCCCTGACTCATTGATGTTGTTGGCTTAATATGTTTATATGAATTCCTCTCGAATTCTTAATTTATGGACTTGGTTATGAATGTCAACCAGAATCATCGCTTAGCAGATCTCTAGACAAGCAGCTCGGCGGTCAAGACATATATATATATATATATACTAGGTTCGACCCCGTGTATTAATTACACGGGGTATTTTAAATGAGAAAAACTCTGGACATTAACTCTGAAAGAAAACTCTAAACATTAACTCTGGAACACCAAAGTTCAGAATTCTATTGTTAGGCTAGAAATTAACTCAGGACTTAACTCTGAATAAGAGGAATTCAGAGTTGTCTTCTAAGTCTAGAAAGTATCTACGAGCATAACTTTGAGTCACAAGAATTCTGACTTCTTATAACTCAGAAACGTAACTCTGAAGAGGAGTTGGGAGTTGTATTCGTCCGGGAATAAACTATGTAACCAAGTTTGGAACATAACAATTCAGAGTTATGTTGTAAGTCTGAGAAATAACCAATATCTGATGACTTCATGTTGATGATTTGTACAACTAATGTCATTTAAGTGTAATGAGATTAAATTGTTGACCAATGTAATTATGATAAATATCAAACAGGTAAGGAAGGTACGAAGTGCACACTTGTTTGAGTTTATTTTGATTTAGGGGCAAAACCCCTAAAGGACGAAGGTCCGGGGGCAGCGCCCCCGGTGGCGGGGTCCAAGGGGCAGAGCCCCTGGCTGCGGTCGAGCTGCCAGATCAGCTTGGAATTTTGTTTTTCGGGTAATATTGCATTGTGAAAAATGCTTCAAAAATCCGAATTTTAAATTTTAAACCCGATTTTGATGACCACTCCAGAGTTAAATTCAGACTTACAGCTCTGAATTTCCCCAGAGTTCTCATCCAGAAGACATCAAAAGACAGAGCTCTTACTCAAGAGTTAAGTGTCTCATATATAGAGGCCGTGCTGTATTCCAAGGAAGATCAAGGCTTAAACGCCAAAAAGGTTAAGTGCTTGATGCAGAGCCTCTACATAATACATGCAGAGCTTCACTCCAGATGCAGAGCCTCTGCATATTACATGCAGAGCCTCTACATAGAACATGCAGAGCTTCACTCTAGATACAGAGCCTCTGCATATTACATGCAGAGGCTC